GAGAGAGAGAGAGAGAGAGAGAGAGAGAGAGAGAGAGAGAGAGAGAGAGAGAGAGAGAGAGAAGTGTTCATGGGTTGTGCATTTTGTGAGAGATGTTTTTTTTTCCCCCTTCTTCTTCTGGTAGCTGTAAACCCGGCAGACCAGGGCTGAGGTTTGCGACAGTTTCGCTTCACTTATCAGTTTGGAATTGACGGCTTCGAATTTATAGAGGCGGGAAAATGCTCTCACAAAAGACAAAAATGGGCGACTTGAGAGGCTTGAGGTTTGCGACTGTTTGGGATTGGTGTATGGGACTATGGGAGTCGCTCCACTACTCTCGACATGCACAAAAGACAAAAGCAATGGCTGTGTGTATATTTCCAAGTTCTAGCAGAAGATTCACTCTCGTTTTTTGCTCATTTCGAGAGTAGTGGAACGAGGCCCTTTATCTCTTCTTCTCGATCGTTGATTGGTGGTGAGATCGTTGGTGATCTCGAGGTGCGGTGCTTGGGCTCGTGTTTCATGCCCAGTTGGGCGATGTACATAGAAAACCGAGGATCCGCAATGTGATGAAAAGGACTGAATGAACAATGCGGTGCAAGTAGAATCTCAACAAGCAATGTGGATTCTCATACATACAAAAGAGTGCTGAATAGCGCAGGGAAGACTTAGATACGAAGCCTGACCTGACCGGGACTGACCCCATTCACATAGTATCAGATAGCGAAGCAGAATGCTAGAATGCTAATGACTAGCCCAATCAATGTTTGAACGCAGACCAAACATACATCGTATCCATCACCAGGTGTGAAGGAGCCTGGCGCTGTTCACAGGAAGAAAGCGCCAGGTCCAGACATACGCAGACGAAGAGGAGGGAATCAGACGAAAGGAGGGAGAGAGATGGGAATGTCGTCAACACCAAGTCTTTGTCACAAGTCCCAAATAATCCCTCGTTGCAATGTCTGAAGTCCAAAAGTCGAGTCTGGATCCGATGTCACCAAGCTCTTTCTCTCTTCTCTCTCTCTGTTACGAGCCAGATACTAACCTGTGATGTTGGCGCTGTGCTGCAGGTACCTCGAAGACGAAGCTGGAGCAACGGCGCTGCAGGTAAGTACCTCTGGCCTCCGCCCAATATCTCTCTCTCTCTAGTACTATCCTAGCTATGGCGCCCAGCGCTGGAGACTACAGCTACCTACTGCGCCCAGCGCTGAAGACTAAAAGCTAACGCTACTTCTACCCTGCAGCGCTCCCTCCAGAGTGCTACTGCCGAATCCTGAAGACTACAACTGCCTCCTGCCTACCCGTGAAGTGCATGGGAAGTCCCTATGTATTACCTGAGCCTGCCTCCTGACTGCCTGAAGGGCGAGCCAGGCCGAGGAGGCTGCTCTTGCCAATGCCGAAGTGTGCCAGGGGCTGGCGCTGCAGCAGCTGCTGAGGCTGGCGTGAAATACAGGCTAAGAATAGCCTGTTCCCGAAACCCTGGTTCGGTGCCTGAGTTTCAGGGCCGGTCGTTCTGATGAACGACCGAAAATGGCCCTTCGTTTCAGGCTAAAAAGGCTGTTGCCATTTTTAGTCTGAAACGACACAGGGACTGCAGGACCCTGTTTTCAGGCTTTCGGGCTGAACAGTCACGGGGCCTGTAGGCCCTGGTTTTCAGGCTTTAAGCGCTGGGGGCCCTGGTTGCACCACATCCTGAATCATCACCATCATCATCTTCATCAGTATCATCATCATCACAAGATGATGGTTGTTGATGTTCATACTTCGATTGCGCGCCCATAGCGCCCGTGAGATGGCCAAGAACTAAATGGCGGGGTACATGAGTGGAGGCGACGAATGTATACAATCTGCCTTTGGGGTTCGCTGGCAGAGGGTAGCAGGACCAGACGAGCTCTGCCGAAAGTGTGGATGGGCGCTGGACGAACGGAGAATCGGGGGAAAAAGCAGGCAGGAGTCAGTATAGCCCACCTCCCACCTCCCACCTCCCTGCCCTAGTCCTCCACCTCCCCCGAATAGAGTGCACGGGTAGTATTCAAGAACCACTGCATATCCAGCCAACCTACCTGCATTTGTTCGCAGCTCGTCAGGGATGCGTTTTCCCCCCCTGAGACATTTCCCCCCAGAGACATTTTTGTTGTCCTTCGTTATACCGGTCGTTGAAATGAGTCTTGGGGCTGTAAAAACTTGGTCATTATCGGGGATTGAAACACGCTCTTGAATCCAGGTATAGACACCCGTTCGGTTCGGCCAATTCGTCGGATGCGAAAATAGCGAACGAATCGTGGCAGACGTGTACGCACGTGCACGCGGATGGATAGTACCAGACACATGCGCGCGCTCACAAGCGGCCGGCCGGTCGCAGACGTGCGCATGCGCCAGCGTACGCTCACGCGTCCCAGGTGTGACGGCACATCAATGACCGAGCGCACCTAACGAACTTTACACGCAGAGAGACGATCCCGATCAGCCACCCGTCTTCACTCGAATACAATGTGTACAAGCATTATAGCTGTGTAGTTGGGGAACTCTGAGTCTACATAGATACAGCAATAATGACCGTACGTTCATTCGGTTGAACTTACATTCATTATAACTGTATTTGGGGCAATTTCGAGTCTAGATACAGCAATAATGACCGTACATTGTATTCAGGCCAAGACGGGTGGGATGAAGTCACAAAACAAGGTTTGACCGAGTGGTAAGAGGGGGAAGAAGGAAGCTGTGACGTTTCTATTTTTATTTGATTTTTTTAATAAGGGAGTCGTTCAGGTCATCCGTTAAAATTGGAACAATACAAAGAGAGAAGATTAGCATCTATCCCC